ATGACGGGGGGGAAATTTGTGGCCGACTTCACTTTCGCCTGCTACACAGGGTGGTCAAAGGGTCAGCGGCACAAAAGTGCCTCTAAAGCTGACAGGAAGTCACTCTGTTTGCTCATAAGCACTTGGAGTGAATCCTTGCACATATGAAAACTAGCAAAGCAATTTCTGTGACCACTGACCACCCCACTGAGCTGATGTCTATTCTCGCGTCACCATCCAATCATGTGTTACGTTTTTTTTGTTTTTTTTTCATGTAATCATCTTTTGCTGCATTACTTACATTCGTCACATCACTCCGGCTGCCAGTTGTTGTCACGTACAGCTTGATGCTGTGGCCCCGTGCTTACTTTTACTACCTCAGCACAGACATTGTGATGAGCAAGGCAGAGCAACAAGAACAATTATCATTTTCTCTCAGATTACATTTAGCAGATGTCAGAGCCCACATGTGGAGGCGGCTAATTGCTGTCTCCAAATCAACTGTGGTATAATGCTACAAGCATATGTGAGCGTTTGTGGGTGTGTTGGGGAAGGTGGAGGGGTGTGTTATATAGAGAAAGTGTGTATGTTGATCCATCTGGCACGCTCTCGGTTGTGTGTGTGTGTGTGTGTGAGTATAAAAAGCCAGGCTAATGTGTGTGCCATGTCGGTGTACTAATGATAAAAACGGCTTACCCGCCATCAGCTGTTCACACCCACACGAGCAGAAAGAATCATATGGACACATAGTGGCACTGGAACACGCTAACTACCCACTCTCATGCTACACATAGTTATTCTTTCATGGTGTGGTATCCATATTGTAGGCATACTCACACAGGCATGCAAATACACACACACACACACACACACACGAATAATAAAGATTAAAAGACAGAGAGCATCCCTACACTCCAGCTTTCACTGCTTTCCTCTCCAATCCACACCCCTCCCTCCTGCATCTTTCCATGTAGCCTTGAGTGGGGCTGCATCCACAGGGAGGAGCGGGTAGGCGAGGTCCCAGGGGTGATGTAGGGTGGATGTGGGGGGGCAGGGGGGCGGCAAGGCTGTCACACCGAGCTCCAGTGTCGGTTGATGGCTCGGCGTGAGGCATGCCACTTATCAGATTGGTGGGGAGGGTGGGGGGTAAGAGTATGTGTGTGTGTGTGTGGGCGAGCAAGGGTGAGATGCCAGAGCCCATTAACACAGTCTTTTCATCTATACGCACGAATGTGAACGTGCATAACAGACTCACGCACATGCAAATTTACATGCTCGTGCTAACATGCACACAAAAAATGTACAAAGAAAAAAAAATCGCCAGAGATCCTCAATCCTCCCTCCAGGCAGACAGTAGCACGATGCCGTGACTGCCGCTGTAAAAAGCTCACTTCTTTTCTCATTCCCCCTCTCCCTTTCCTTTTCATCTTCCTTTCCCACTCTCCCTCTGTGCCCCAGTTCACTCCAGTGCACACGGCCCCTCTCTCCTTCTCACCCGATCCCCCCCCCCACCCCCCCTCTGGCCCCCATTCCCCATCCCAACCCCTGCCTTCCATTTTTGCAGCCTTCACACTCCTGTTTCTCCTTCATGCTGCTGTTTGCTTTTCCTACAGTATGATGCATTTTCCTCACTCTTGTCAAAAACACATTTATACACACAGAAAAAAAAAAAAAAAAATCTAGATTTAGAAATACGAATGCATGACAACATTCAGATGGCGGCAATGCAGAAATGCATAAATGCTCATCTAATGAGTCTAATTAACCCCTTACAATATTAATTTTCACTTTGTATTAACAATTGAATCCTCAGCCCTATAATAAATGAAACAGAATTGGTATTTCCAGTGCTCACACACAACATGATCACACACACACACACAAATAAACGCATCAAGAGATGGGAGATGGGTCTTTGATGGAGGAGGTCAGTCAGTCACAGAGCAGATAACAACACCTCATTAGGCATGTTGAACGGAGTCTTGCAGGCTAGGGTTGAGACATCACTGTCTGCTATAATGCTAACAGGGCCCTGGGCAAAGCTTCCAACATCTAAACAAAACTGATAGAATCAGAAAGTAACGATCACATGTTGTCCACTAGAAAGGAGATGAATAATCACGTACAGTGGTTTGGGGGTTGATGCACCGCCTTGCACTCCCCGCTTCCCACTGAATGCAGACGTGGACACAGTCATACATGCATGCAACAGACATTCTTAAATAACAGTGATGTCGAGCTGCCTTGGGCTCAATTTTTATCCTATGCATGCATGCACATCGTTATCCATTCATAAGATTATAAGCTATGTATTACTGGACGGTACGGGACTGTATACCAGGCAGTCTGCCATTCTATAGGCAGTACAGTATGAATCCAGAGAAGCAGGGTTGTCAGGGTTGTGCACTGCAGTGTCTTTGCTTTGGGCTTTAGGCAGTCAATTTTGTTTCCATCACGCACTTGCACACTTTCAGTCATTCTTGCACTCACAGTATTTATCTCAGTCTCTCTCTTTATCCTCCCTCTCGCTGCCTATATTAGGCCATCCTCCTTTCCCCTGGCTCTGATGTTAATGCACTCCCAATCAGGCTGTCCATTAAGTAGACGTGCACTACACGTTCATCAGGCTGTCCAAAGGCCTGCATGCAAATGAGCTCAAATTGCAGCGCGCTGCAAACTCCTTGAAATCTCCTTAGAGGGAGAAGGTGAGTGTAAGACATGCATGTGTGAGAAATGCAGGAAAAAGCGAGTGCCTGCCTGTCCATTTCATGCAAATGAAAACCACGGAGACAAGCATTACAAAGGATTAACCCAATCAGGATGTCTTTTTGATGTTTTCATGAAATGGTGAGACACCGACATGTGAAACTTGCTAATGTAAATTCTATCCGTGATCCGTACGCCTGAGAGTGTTCAGTTACTGTCAGCCAAACCCTTTTTCATGCACAGGAAAATTCTGAAATCACTGTCAAAACTTTTGCCAGAATCGCTAAAAGTGAGACACACAGCAGATCTTTCACTTTCTTTCCCTCTCCTCCCTTTTGACCGCTAGGCATTTCACATCGCTCCATTTGGTTCTTTACAAAAAAAAAAAAAAGTTTGTTATTGTATCCAGTGGGACGCATTCATTCTCACCTCAGTTCCCTGCCATCTCCAACTTTCTAAACCTGTTAGGTGGATTGTGAAGGAGCGGGGAGAGAATAAAAAAGGACAGTGTAGACGTGTGGGTGTGAGAGCTGTCACAGTTTTAAGTAGAAAATTGTTTGAGGTATCAACAAGGAGTATGAGTTGCAGAAAGAAAGGGAGACAAAGCATGAGAGCTGGAGAGACACGTCGCTTCAGGAGGCTGCCTCTTTGCATTCAGGAGGCACAGGACCTGGTGTTAAATGCACGGAGCAGGGGCGAGTGTCAGCGAGGCCTGCCACGTGCCAAATCTTAAGTGGCAGTGGCACTCAAAGATAATGAAGAACGATGATGAGGCCGAGGAGGGCACGCCGAGGGCCGGTGTGCACAACTAAAGATCACCCAGCAGCCACCAATCGGGCCGAGTACACGCGGCCACTCGAAGAGGTTTGCCAACGGCGCTGATTGTATACCGCGTGTGTGAAATGCGGCTCAAATTTCCTCTTTCATTTACTGATCCTACCACATTTCTGTGTGTGCATCCTTGTGAACATGTGTGCGTCTGCACATATGTGCTCACGCCTGGTGTGCAACAGAATGTGAGTCTGTATGAGTCATTATGCACTTACACCACGGGATGCAAAGACAGTTGAGTAAAAAAAAAAGAAAAGAAAAAAAACCCACAAGAGTGAAAATAATGGAAGATAAGGAAGCTCCCCGCATTCCTCAATCGTGACCTCAAAACACACTTGTCGTCTTTATTGTTCATTACCGAGCCGTGTGCCGCGATACGCTAACTAATCCCATTAAACTAATCCACATGAAAACAACTTACGGCACGATAACGGCCCGCACTGCCTCCACCATTAATTTATGCCGTATTCAAATGTGCACGGAATTGAAATAATTAATGTGACTCCCCCCTTCTAATTTTCCTCGTGGCAGAGGATACTGAATGGATACCCGAAGGATGTTTATTTTCATCTTCAGTTTTTTTGCACGTTTCTCCTACTATTGTCTATGTACACAGTGTTTGGTCCAAAGCAACATTAGTTCTTTACTGTAGGACTTGTGTTTTTGCCCATTAGTGGCTGTGCTGTGTTATATTCCAGGCTGAAAGACTGAGTTAACAACAACTACATTTGCCAGCAGAGGTGTCTGGTTTAAATTTGCCTCCAACTTTCTGGGGTATATGAGGTGCTAACATAATGTTAAAGACTTTCAGCAGGTGTGAGTATCACTAAATGATATGAAACCGATGTTGAATCTTTCGCTTGTGAACATTTATTTTCAAATTGATGAATATTATGGGCTGTTGAGAGCAGACTCATGGAGCCTCTCTTGGCCTCCCAAGGTAGTCTGCCTCTAAAACTTTGCAACCCGCATGATGAGACAGCCGCTGAGAATACCAATCACACGCAAGTATTCCAATCTGCAGTTGATTTTATCATCTCCAAAGGTCTTTTATCCCCAGAACCGAATCACAGCTCCCACATTAGCACCCGTATGGGCCCTGAACATTGTCTGCTGGTTAACAAATGCTGAGCGTGTTTGGGTAGGAGGGTTGTGCACATGGGTTTATGAATAAAACATGTTGCCCCTTATTAAAAATAATCTGGCTCAAAAGTGCCAGAGGCCCTTGAGGTCGATAACCCCCCCCCCCCTTCCCCTCCATCCACTCCCTCCATCTCACAAGGTTCAAGGAGAGAGGTCCCTGATTAGCACTGGCAACATCCAGAGAATGCATTCAAATTCTGTATGATCCAATGGCGAACGTGTTGAGTGGAATTAAATAAAGCAGATAGCAATTGGCGCTTGTGGCTAAAAAAAAAAAAAAAGGGTGGGGGGCGAGGGGGGGCTTGTTTAGGAATTTGAGCTGAGCGCCGTCTTGTTCTTACCTGAACATATCGCCCAGGCCCTTCAGCATGCTTTTCCTGGCTTTGATCTTGTCCTTGTCTTTCTCCTCTTTATCCCTCTCAGGTTTCTTCCTTTCCTTCCCTCCAACCTTGTCCCAATCTTTCCGTCTGTCATCTTTGGAGGGGTTGCCGTTCAGCCCTGAGCCCACAATGAGGTCACCGCTGGTGGACATCGACTCACGACCCGACCGGGAGCTTCCCTCTGTATCCTCGTCCACTGGAGTGAAGAGATAAGGAGGACGGAGAGGGTGTTAGGTATAGATATTGTGAGAGGGAAAGAGAATAGCGCAGAAACATGCGGAGAAAAAGAAAAATGAAATTTAAGTCAATAAAAGGAAGACAAAAACTTTAACTTCCACTTGACTCCCCAAAGATCAGAGACGCCGCATTTGAAATCAGCACACAACAACAACACTTTTTTTTTTATCAGTTACAAAGACTCACTTCGTTCTTCTTGCAACATCAGATAAACCATTAACAGAAAAGCTGCGTCCCACAAGGTATGGCAGCTTTGAACAAAACAAACTGAACTCATCCGTCTCATTAGAGCAGAATATATTTACATTGTACACCCTTTGAGAATAATATTCAGTTGAACATATTTTCACTTCGCTGAGAGCCTGAAGTTATTTCAAGTGTGTACATTTCACACAGCTCACAAGAGAACCATCTTTTTTTCTTTTTTTTTTCACCCTTTTCTATTGCATTTCATATAAAAGTAATATGAGCAAATAGTGGAAGTTGTAATGATCGTCATATGAATCTGGTTCTTAATTTACGTCTGAACTCATTTCAACTCAGACATCAAATTGAAACCAAACTCCTTAGGAGATGTAGGGTTGATTAAACTCAAAGTTTCCATCACATCTAATCAGAACTGATGTGCAAAATGTAATTAATCTGTCTGTAATTATACATTTAAATAATCTTGAAAAAGGCTCCCGGGGATCTTAATTGCAAATGTGGTGCGTTCCACAATCGGCATAGCTCCTGTCTACCCTATATCTCTGGCTCTGAGGTATGAGGTAGATGTCCTTCAGATTACAACTTATTACAGTCTTGTGTGTCGTCGTCTAAGTTCTGCCTTTGATGGAGGAGAGAAAAGTGCTTATCGTGAGGAAAGAGGAGGGAGGGGAGACCATGATGGATTTTCGGCATACGTGATGAGGCCGACCACGGGAGGGAGGAGCTGCAGGATTCACATTTCTAGGATGAACAGTGGGGTTTGTTTTCTCTTGTGATCTGTGCAGCTATCAGCTATTTCTTTCAGCTGCCATCTCAGAGGGGAATTACTGAGATGGAATCTCAACATGAGGCGCTGTACTGCAGGAACACAGAGCGAACTGGCAGCTTAAGCCTGCTCAATTATGCAGCTCATTGCCGCGCGTTAGCCCCTCCCTTCCTTTTTCTCCACCTCCACAAATTTGGGAGCAGGTTCTGGATGAGTATACCAATTTTATCACTCAATCTGCTGCCTGCTTATCATCCACTTAAGAGCGACAGTGGCGAATGGCAGCTGTGAGCTGTGTCTCGCTATTTAAATGAGTGTTAATACCGCTACTGCTTAACGATGCCAATCTGCAGATAACATGCTAAATATTGTAATCCAGAGCCACCCAGAGGGCAGTGGCCATGTGCGTCTGTTTGTGGCTATAGGTTCTTCACATGTGGTCTTATAAAGGCCTCGTAGTGAGTTAGAAAGAAGGGCAAACTAAAGGGAAGACTTCAGTCTTATAATTCAATGCTGTATCTGTCATTTTACATTTAATTTGTGACTTCCAAATAAAACAAGACAGAAAAGAAGCTGCCTCCTGTCAAAAAAAAAAAAGAGAAAAAGCCGGACATCAAAAAGTGAGGCCATCCACAGCAATTTAATAGAAGTGAGCAGAAAACGACTCGGTTTACAATCTCAAATGACAGCAGGAGCATTGAAGGGAGCATCAGGAGATGGAAAGATAATGTGAAGAGACAGACAACTACAGCAAAAACATTTTGTCACTTAAGTGAAACTCTACCATTAAACTTTCCTGCTTTAATAATCAAGGACATGTCAGATGGCCTGTCAGTGAAGGTTATGACAGACAAGTAAAATAAGGAATTAAAGAGGGATTTCTGCCCCATACTGTTTTTTTTGTTTGTTTTTTTTTGTCTTTTTCCTTTCCATTTCCTCAAACGATGCAACAAGAAGTAGCACAGGGGGAAGTGCATTTTGCACAGCAGGATATCTTTGGGGACACATTTTCTTTAGGTGATGCCACATTCTTATTTTATGTAAATAAAAGTCTGGGAGCAGAGGAAGGCAGAGGCTTATCTGTCAACTTTGACTATTAACCTCAGTGACGAGCACAGACTGGCTGCTTTTATCTAAATTGAAAAACAGAGTTATTTGAATATCATGAGGGAGAATGCAATATACCGCGGCAGGGGAAATCGGTTGCTTTCCCCATTTTTCTTTGCCGAGATAAGACTGTATTTAGTGGCATGCCGACAGAGCTTATGAGAACAAAGCGTTTCAGGCAAATAATTCCTTCTTTCTCAAATGTCCCCCAGCTCTTTTAATGGAATCCTTTAATGGTGAATGGAAATTTATATCCGGTGATTACTCTTGTAGTGTTGCAGTGTTATTACCTGTCACAAAACATAAGACGGCTGCCTCTCTATATCCCATGCATGTCTTTTTGTCATCAAACACCGAGTAGGAATGGATATATCCACTCAAACTGAAGGCGCCGTGTCTTTCTTCTTCCCCTCTTCTTGTCGTAGTTAAGGATAAAGTAAGGTAATTTTGGTTTCAGCTGGAGGTATGCGGGTAAACAAATGTGAGGAAACCTGGCAAAGTCAGGAAGGTGTTGTGTGCCAAAACTAACTGGCACAGACCGAATTTCAAGATAAGTTATTTCATTTATTATCATCGTAAATGTCATTACACATGCATGTTACGTGTTAAGTGGATACAATAGGAGCCTGACGTATGTGGGTAAACAGCAGACATTTTTCCTTGCGTGCACTATGTTGAATAACACGGCAGTGCACTTTAAGAGTATGTAAGCTGCAGGGAAAACACGCTGCCACATTCTCTCCCAATTTCACTAAACATGAACTGTGTCAATATTAATGAGTGTGTAACCTAGACGCTTATTGGAGATGTGCTTTGTGTGACACACACACACACACACACACATCTCTCCAGCAAGTGGGGATCCCTAACCTAGTTTACTTGGGGGGTGAATCCTGCCACTCTGAACAGGCTCTGGGGAAGCATTATTGAGTTGGCCTATATTACACTAACAGAATTTCTCTGTAATAATCTTCTGATGTCTTCCATTGTACATTATGTAGTGACACACTTTTGGGCACTTTCTCCTGGATCACTGCTGTGAATAAACAAAAACTCACATGTCTCCATGCTGTTCTCTTCCTCTGCTGACGTGACGCCGGGATTCTCATACGATTTGTCAATTGCAGCTCGGAAGCTCTCGTTGCAGCCGCGGCTCCGGACAATCCGCGAGCGCGGCCTGTTGGCGTTCATCTCACTGTTCAGCGTTGCCTCAGCAACGGCCGTCTGGAGACTTTCGAGGGAGCTGGACTTTTTCAGGCCCAGCGACGGTCCGACCTCTTGTTCCGCAGAGCCTATGGAAAGAGGAAACGGTGTCACTGAGGCCAGCGGACTAATGGCGTGTGACTCTAACTCCCCCACAATGGCAACCTAAAACTTATCATTACCGGGCTCATTGCATGACAATGAATCATTTACGTTTTGCTAGTTTTGTATGGGATGATGTTATGTGCCATACTTGGCAGGCATAGAGAAAGTGTGAGTCTGGCAATTAACATGAAAAACAAATGATGCCATTGCCTGGCCAATGAAGTGTGTGAAATGAGAACAGAGTATTACATCTTCACTGAGACATTTTCCTGTTGAGAATTATAATTCAACCTTTGTTCTTGTGTCTGCACAGTTAAATTATATAGCTGAAACGTAATGCATATAAATGAAATATCAAAGACAGCAATGTACCGCAGCACCAGAGTGATTATAGTGTTCAGACCTAAAACTATTCCCAAAGGTGTTTCTCTCACTCTGCTGTCTCTTTCTCTAAGAGATAGGTGGGAGAAAAGGGGAAGGCATGTAGACAAATCTAAGTCCGTTTCGTTTCCAACACCATTCTCTTGTATTCACTCGCTCATCTTAGCACAAACAACACCTTACAGCTGTAATCTTTAGCTCTCTGTCTACGGCCTTCACGCGTTGGCGACTGCAGGTAATACCGCACAAAGCAACCTGCTCTGCGGCGATTAGCCTCGATTAGAATCGCCAAAACATCTCGTTGACAGAGGCCACCTGCAGAACATGCACGTGTGCACTGCACATAGCAACACAAAACACACCAATATGGTTTATGGACAGAGACGTCTTCATGAAACAAGACTTGTGGCACAGACTTTGTTTACTTCACAAAACAATGCTGCAGGAATTCTAACCATTATGCAAAGTTAATACAATTAACAGGTAAACTCTGCACATGACATAAATGAAAGGCTGTTGTGACATGAATTTTTTTTTTTTTTTGCAAAGTAGCTAATTAGAGCAGCTTTGATACATCAAACTTGTAAGACATATTATATCCTTAAGAGAACCTACACAGAGCTGAAGTGGTGGGCCAGCTGTGTAACAGTCAACCTCTTCAACACTGGGTCCAGGCTCAGGAAGGTTGTAATTATTTTTCCAATGCTTGCCAGGGGTTTGTTTAGGGCATGTCAGTGGAGCGCGACTCAGGTATTGGTATTTCATTTTGTTAGGGAGCGTCCGTCAGTTCCCCGGAGCTCTTACCTTACTTGCCAGTTGGTAAACAAACAGCCTGGTTGATTTTCTGTCCTCCTCTATTCTACCTCGACTTCAGCGTGCCGCACAGTGCTGTCAGACGTAACAAGGTGGGTTTTTTTTTAATATGCGCAAGTGAAGCCTTGTTAGATGTAAACATCTGCAGAGGAAACTATCAGTAATAATGGATTAACTGTTGATTCAATTACTTTAGCAGCCTCACTGACTCTCCGAGGACACGGCACATGCTGAAGAAGTCTGGACAGAGCAGCATTGTGTCTTTACGACTCCCCGCAGACCATATAGACCCTCCACATGTAATGAATGTGTGCTGCTGTTTCCTCTGTGGTTTCATGCGGTGTAAATAAATGTGTCCTGCAGCTCTTCCTGTTGGTTTTCAATAGCAAATGTTTCTATAAGGTCTTGTCTCTACCCCCACTGCATAGAACACGCACATGCAAACACTGGGTGCATATGTTTGTATGCGTGTGCCTCATGCAGGGACTCCTTGACGGGCACAAGAACACAAACTCATGTCACACACACACTTTTGTCATCTACCATCAACATCCAACAGGATCCTCGACATGTTTAAAGTGGCCTAAATGAGGCATGAGGCACTGCTGCTGGGTGATCACAGTGGATCTTTAAATGCAGGGCTGTACGGCCAAACACAGATTAGGCAAAAAAAAATAAACCCCCATCACTTAAAGAAAACAATTTTGGAACTCAGTGTGAAGAATCTGACACACAGAGAACATGTTTCAGTGCATGATGGATTGAAACAGGAAAAGAGGAAATATGGAGCGTGAATACACAGAGGTTGCAAAAAACCAGGGTATGAATGAGTTAAGAGCTTAAGAGAAAAGAGGCTATGCTGGCAGCACTGTGCAGAAATGCATATACAGTATGCTGCTGCTGTTATCATCATTTTACCAATGGCAGCTTGTCTCTTTTGTTGGCTCAACGCCTTTGCTATTTTCTTATTCATCCCTTAACCAAGCAAACCTGCAGCAGCTCAGTGGTGATTAGCAGCTAGTTCAAACATTCATCTGGACAGTTACATTGCTGAGGACAAATGTAGGAAGGAGCGGTGCTGACAGATTTCTTATTATTACAGTCATGTCATTTTTAAAAGGAACCGAAAGTTTTCAAGCTACTTTTAGGATCTTTCGGGTCACAAGGGCATTTGTCTTTTTGCTGCGTTTGCTACAAACGCACCCTTACTGAGAGTGTGAGTGCTCCTCTATCAACCGTGGCGGCTATAGATCTGGTGTCACAGGAGTCAGATAGGCTAAAAGGTCAGCTGTTAGCCAGTGGTGTTGGGTTTCCAGACTGGTAAATGTACCGTTATGCATTTAAGAGACCATTTCCCCTTCCTTTTCGTCAATGTTAATAAAAGTGTCCAATCCCAAGAGAACCTGGACTCAATCCAGAAACTACCATTCCAAATAAATGAACACCAATCCTATAATGCTGCATCCCATTTAGCAGGAAGAGCACATATGTGCGCCTTCAGGCTGCTCGGGACAGTAAAATGAAACTTTACTGTGTGCTACAAATGTCTAAGGGGTCAAAAGCTCTCTGGTTGCAGGAACAGAAGATTCATTTTACTGCTTAGTTCCTCTGAAGAGAAGGAGCATTTCTGATTACTATGACAAATTTTAATGCCAGGGAAGCATAAAAAGCCTTACAAGAGAGAGAGAGAGAATGCAAGTAAAAATCATGTAATTCATTTGTTCAGAAAGAGTAATCTCATCATACGAAGGACAAGAGAGGACAGTCTAAAGAAAAAAAATATATACGGAAACACAAGCGTGGATACAGCGTAGCAGGAGAATGCTGTCATTTTTCATACTTTGTGGATAAAACTCAATCAACCCGGTACAAATGTCATGTACATTTGGTTTTTTTTTTTCTTTAAGCTTATGCCTAAAGCCTGCCAGCAGCGGACACGTGGAAGCCAGGGTGCATGTTTGACACAATGGGATTGCAAGTTAGAGCCGCACAGGATGCAACAGTTCAAGGGAACACAAATGACATCTGCTGTACTTGGAAACAGGGAATTATCCTCCCGCTTGGTATTCCGCACCATGATCCGCCTCGCCATTGTTTCTAGTCATCGTGGTGAATGACTGAGAGAAGCAGAGAGACAAAGAGAATGGCAGAGCGAAGCAGAGAGAGAGAGTTTGCCCACAGACCCCGGCTGCCTCGAACCTGCCTTTGTTTTCATCAGAAGCAGCCCTGGCTCTCCTGGGGGAGTTTGACGGACAGCTCTCTGTATGCCAGTCTATTATGCGATTCCTATCACACAACAGAAGCCTCAGTGCTCTGCTCCTCATCTCCCTCTTATTCAGAGGGATGAAAATACATATTCCCCCACTGCATACAGACATGAGTTTGTCTCTCTCCACACGTCTGGAGGAGAAATGAAAATCATCATAATGAAATAAAAAAAAGAAAGAAAAAAAAGAAAAAGAAAGACAATCAAACCAAACACAGGGAAAGTGCACAATTTTGTCATGGCCGAAGACAAAAATGGCCAATGTTGCTGTGTTCCTTCGCCAGATTAAGGCCAAGGACAGTTAATTGGAGAAGATCCATTGCCATTAAACGAAAGAGGGGAGGTATGGCAAACTCCATGAATAAATCAGCAGCAGTTATTACAGGGACAGGAGCCCATAGTATAATTAGAGCAGCTAAAACTATGCTCCCGAGCCATTACTCACCACAGGTCCTTGCATGTAAAGATCTGTGTACAGACAGGGGCTCCATTACACATAATTTATTCAGAGAGTCAGGGCTTTAAGCAGGGCGGTAAAAGGGTAATTATGTTAAAAATAGCCTCCAAGGTGGTCGAGGGAAGGCCATGTCCAGGTATCCTAGTGGAAGTGAGGCTACCCCGGGTCGGCCGGGCTCCTATGTCTCTGCCAGATGTGGATCATTAGCCTGACGGAGGACGTCCTCCGTACGCTGAACATGTGTCACAAAGAAATCCTCATTACCCGGATTTGTGGTTAATGTCTCAATCAACGAAACTGGATACTGTCCTGCAGTTGTGTGCTTTTTTATCAACCCAATAATTAAATTTTTATACTTCCTTATCACCTTCCAAGTAAGCCTACTCGCTCAGCTAGCTGAGCTATTAATATGCAGAGGCTGGCAACTCTCATGCCAAGCCTGGCAACCCACTGGATCGGCAACTGACTCGGCTGGAATTGAAACTCACAATTATTTCCCCATCTCTCATTTAACACTGCTGGCCTATAGCCTCCACTCGCCTCTTAATATTTGTTTTTAACACTTTTCCCGCCTCTTACAATATGTTTAGGGGTCCTTGAGACATGTACAAAGTTGTTATACGTTTTTCAATTATCCCCTGTGAACAACAGGTAATAAGCACGTTAGTTTCAAATTAGTGCTCTCAGAAATCACTCAAAAATACCCCCTCGTGACCCAGTCATCAGCTCATTCTGTGATAATTTAATGGAGTAAATGCACTCTAATGCGCCGCAAACAGAGCTCAAAACAGCCCGACTATGATGGATCAATTGCAGTGAGCTGAAGAGGCCAACTGGCAATGAATGTATCTGTGTTGCAAATGCCACTCACACTCGCCTGGCTTTCTGTGGCCCTCCACACCTCCTGGAGTAATAAGTGTTTTCTTCAATCATTTGCACTGCGCAACGAGCACAATGGCACAGGTTCCCACATTACTTGCCAAGTCTCTATTCAACAACATGCAACTCCCTCTCAGCAATATGAAAACCCTCTTTTGATCATGCTGCAATTACCTCAAACAACACTCTCCTCCATACGCATCTAGAGGCGCCAAGATCACACAGCCAGTAATGGTTGGTTATGGGCTGGTTATGGAGAAGGAGTGGGACTGCTTTTCCAATCTCTATTATTTATCCATGGACCCTGCTGAACAATCATAATTGCCCATTGTAATAATGGTGAATGTATTGAGCTGGCCCCGACATGGTTGCTTACCTCCATTGGTTCTTGTGCTGCAGTTAATCTCATCTGCTACTGTTAAAGAGCATAAACAAGTGTGAGTGGTTAGTGTCTTCTCTACCATGTTATTGAGCACATGCAAAGCAGAGACAGAATCAGCAAGCGCAAGGCACATACTGAATAGTTTGGGAGCGGTGATCTAAGTGGAGCAGATAGCACGCCCCGTGCAAGAGGCTGTCAGTCATGAGGCTTACACGGCAAAGTGGCAGGAACGTGCTAACGTATTACTGACAGCCGTAGCACCTCACGTCTCTTTCTCCCCTTTTTTCTCCCCTTACTCAGCTTTGTTCCCCCATCTAAATGGGATTGAACTGCGGGACGCCTGACCGGTTTAGCATATTTCAACAATGATGGGCTTCAAAGTCACGAAATCCATCTGCTGATGTGATTTGGGAGTACCTGGAACACGATTAAAAGGTGGGACAAAAATACCTGGTGACGGAATAAAAACGAGTCCGTAGGGAATAGTATTGTTGAGCATATTAACAACTTAGTCAGGGGTGGCTTTGAAAGAAAAGGACAGCTTTATTAATGTGTTAGTAGAAAGCAGAGAGGAATGCTTACACCTCCTTCTTCACATAACTTCTAAAGACAAACTTGTCAGTGTCCAACAGCGAGCCAAAGACGATGTTTAAGGGTGAACGTGGGCAATATGTTCTGGGGCTCATTTAATCTTCAACTCTATTATACATTACCCATGAGCCATTTCTCATTGTGTGCCTTTGATGTAATAATTTCATTAAAATAATCACCATACTATAGCAGTTTGTGCCTCTGAGATAAACGGAACTTATGTGACATTAGACGGATCGAAAATCCCAATATGCAGCTTTGATTTTAAACACATACTGTCGAGCTTGTGGTCCCACGTATTGACTGAAACGTTTCTCCTCTGGGAACCCGTGTCAGGTCCTGGAGTTATTATGAGACGAACAAGTTAGTCATTTCCCTGCACCCTCTGAACACTGTGATATTCTCGCTGACGGATTATGACTTTGTATTGGCAGGGATTTCTGTCGGCGGGATATATTTTACAAACTCAATTGGGCGCCTGCAAGTAGTGAAAAGGAATGTGATTTTGAATTACATCTAATAACACACACACTGATCTTGAGAACTAAGGAATAACCGAGCAATAATGGGGATTTGTAAAACATCAATAACACTGGTTATCCCAAGAGCGAGCTATCGTCTTATGAGCAGATGAACTCGTCTCCTTTTTAAAAAAAAAAAAACACTGTTGTTTTCCAGAACTAATCAAATTCACTAATAAATGCTGACGCCACTTTGGCTCAATTAAGAAGCTTTTTTGATTAAACTTGATGATAAAATGTGCATTTGCAATAATGAGAACACCATCACAGAGCTTCCTGTCCATTCTCCTCACTTCCTGTCCTCAATAATATCCAATTATATTTCAACACTAAGAACATAATGGAAATATTTTTTTTTTTTTTTTTTGCTCAACCAATTTCTCTGTGAAATCTATCCCACCACCAACTATCATCTTTCTCCAAAGCAGCACTTTCCTTTAAAAGTTTGTTTTGTCTGGGTTCACTTTGTAGGAAAAGTTGTGATGACAAACAGAGGGCTGTAGCTATTACAGGGACGGTGGACATCACAGAGCTGAGTGCAGTGGCCCGGACCTACACCGGTCTGTGGGAGAGTCAAAGGTTTTCCACAGGTCTCTGGGCTCCTTGTGGATGAGAGTTAGCTGTTATCTGTTATGATTACCCAGTGATCCGAGAGAAGGCAGCGTCTGCTTCAGCCTCGGTGGGAGAGGCTCTGAACTCATACTCTTCTTCCCTAGATACAGTGTGTGTTTAGAGTGTGCGCTTGTGCTTGTGTGTGTGTGCAAATGCCTGTCTCTCACTGGCCTCCCCATCACTAAAAATTCACTAAAGAGGCCATTGTACTCACACTTTCTTGTGTTTCACCTGTGCTCCACAGGACACAGGGCCATAGGAGCTGGTGGCCCGCACACAGTACTCTCACTGTGCATTAAGAGATTACTACCAACATTTCAGGGGCATTTACTTTAGCGGTTTCCTCCAAGTAAAGTGGTTTGCATAATAATACATAATAATGTTTGTCTGACTGTTCTTGTTTTATGTCTGGCTGGACTTTGTTGGGAAAAAAAACACAATGAAAATAAGGCCAGAGTTGTAATAAATGTTCACTTTTTCGGAAAATTCATTTTTGTAAATATGCTAATTCTCTTTCTTGCAGAGAGTTAGATGAGAAAATTAATACCCCTCTCATATCTTTATGCTAAATATGGAGCTAACTTAGCTTAGCACAAAGACTGGAAATAGGGGGAAACAGCTAGCCTGGCTATATTGAAAGGTAACAAAATCTGCCTCGCAGCACCTAAAGAGGTGGCATGTGCCAAACTATTTCTTGGCCAGCACCAGTTGCCAGGTAACCTGTGGAGACTCTGCTTAGTGTTCCCAGTAATAGTACCATACATAAACCTCCATGAAACAGCATGTAAGTAGTGAGAAAGTGAATAAGACTATTTATCAAACCTTTGACTCCATGCATGTGCATGTGCGTTTTAGCATAGCGTAGCATTTACCGAGATCCATGCTCTTGGACTTGCGGGTCTTGATGATCTCAAGCTGAGCAGCATTTTCATACTGTTTGGTGCGTTTCTCTGACATACTCTGGCGACCAAAACCCTCCCTCTGGAACGCACCATCCGGGTCTGCGTCTTGGCTGAGCGAGCTGCAGTTCATAATGAAGAAGAGAGAGAGAGGGAGACACAGACAAAAAGAATATTATAGAGTTTCCATTAGCCAAAGCCAACGCACAGTCCAAAAGCATACTTTGTGATCCAGTGATTATCCAATTAAAGAATATATTTTGTAATCATCTACACCAAGTTGCAGTAATATTGCTAGGGGCCAACCTCATAATAACACTGGGAGATAAAATCTACCTATTAATATTCACACCCCCCCAAATCTCAGCCCATAACACACACACACACAGTCAGTTTCAATCCATCATTTCAATGACTATTCTAATCAAGGACACCTCCACCTCTGCTGGGTGGGTTGAGGACACGCCACAATTGAGAAGAGGAGTCCAGGCTAAGATGTGTGATATCCCAGTGAGGTGAGGGTCCTCCTGGGTCATGGCCACTCAATAACCCCCCTCCTCCAATACGTCTGGAGCAGTGGCAGGGCCCGGCCCACCATAGAGCGCTCCCTTTGAGATCCTCTATCTCTGTCTGGATCTTAATTGAAAATCAGAGGGGAGTGGGGAAAGGAGAATGGGAGAGGGGGGGGCACTGGTATTTGCATGCAGAACAGTGCATTTACAATTAAGGTGAGAACATCTTGCCATTTGAGGGAAGACAGAAGGGAGGAGATGCGGTGCCGAGGGAGTCTAATAAATGCTACATGCATGAGAGGACACTGTCACTGTTTCTTTTGTTCAGACATTATGATCATTAAAGGGTCTTTGTATTTACACCTCTAGAGATCCTGAATTTCCTGCATCTTACTACAGACATTTCATCAAGTAATCTGAGCTCTCGTGATACCGCAGACCGGACACATCCTCTTGGAGGTAGACGCTCCTCGAAGCAGTCTCCAATATTTGCAATATCACTTAACGGCAGCTGTAGACCTGCTAGCACTTGTTTGCGTGTAAATAATTCTTATTTGGGTTGTCAACCCCGTTTAACAAAAGAGCTGCTCCACGTGTCACCGAGGGGCCGGCGTCAACGTGTCACTTTGCTGTCGACCATACCTGACAATCCCAACTAAGATCAGACCGCCTCGCAGGACTGACTCCAGCTGACACAGGAAGAGAGGGAGGTGGAGCAGGAAGAGAGGAATGACAGCACAGATGTATTATTCATTTATTCATCATCCCTCACTTTTCTCCTCTCATCATTCCAAGCCCACAAAAACCAGCCTGCCCTCTCTTTTTTTTTTTCTGTCTCTGCAAATGTCATCTGACGGAGCGTGACTGAGATGGCGCAGACGAGAAAGGACGTATTTTCAGCCTGAATTCAGATTTCCTTCGCTTGCCAGTTTTATGTTTCTTGGGAAACTGAACACACATAGAACATAGACAAAGCGAGAGGCCAGCAGGTGGGATCGTGCACGACCCTGTCACACAGGTACAGACCGTTGGCGAGTGAGTGAGTGAGTGCAGTTACCGAGGCAAGCAGTTTGGATGAATCAGAATCTGGTTTGTCTGAGCAAAAATGGTGAGAAATCTGTGGGCAGTCAGAGTGAAATTCAGTGGGACGGCCCAGCAGTGGTGCAAATTCCCTCAGTAGGACATGATGATCTGTTGGTATAAGCTGCTGCCCATTTTAACACTGCCTTTGTTTTACTTTGGTTCACACAGAGCGATGACTAAATGCCCAGGTCAGGATCCAGGGTAACATGAAGAGAAGCAGCCAATTGTGTTGTTTTGAGGCCCCCCCCCCCCTCCTCCCCAAGCCGGGTGTACCTGCTGTCCAAACTTGCACCTCAGGTCTAAGTAACCATGACAACTTAAAAAGGTGGCAGTGACCCCCTACACCAGTGGCGGGCAACTGGCGGCCTGTGGGCCAAAACTGAACTAACAGTCCCACATTTAGCTATAATGTCAAAATCGAGATTCTACCCCCCTAAAGAATGCTTATTAAACTTTTATCCATGTGGAGACTGAATGACAGACACAAACAGTCACGCATCAGGCTGCGGGCAGCACTGTAGTCAGTCTATAGCACCTGATGCTAAAATAGATCTCCACCATGGCAGCAACAGTTACCCACAGAATCACTTCCTGTTTAGCAATTTTGCCTACTGAACAAAAGCGCAAGAAAGATTGTTCTTTTTTTTTTTTTAAGTATTACTTTATTTCAAGATATTGTGAGCTTTTATTATGGTAAAATTCTGACAGGAAGTTCCAAAGGTTCTGTTGCTTGCCTGACCCGTCCTCTGAAAAAGCAAACACACAATGTGTGCTACAAAAAAAATAACACCAGTTCAGTCAGTCAGTCAATCGTATAACGTGACACAAACATCATCGCATTCTTATCAATCAATGTCTTTAATTAGCTTTTGGTTATCTTCTTGCCCGCCATCTAATGGATTAGGAAAAAATCCCTTTTCTATTCAACAGAGAGGCCATTCCTACCTGTGAACCTACATCACAGGTTGCGTATGATTTTAATTGAATTTGATATTACACTATTAATTCAAAGCAATTTAAATGAAACACAATGCAAGCCTCATGTGGTACTTTCACCATGAAATACGTGTGCTACTTACAGTACCAAAAGCACTGCCAGGCTAGTATTAATCTTCTAGTCTACTTAAAGCTGGCACACAAAGATTCACAGCTTGTACAGTCCATTAATAGAAATACAGCACTCAATTACATATCTCGTATTCACTCTCTGCTGGCTATTAATTTTCCCATAGGAATGCTTGTCGGAATGAGATACTGCTTTGGAAGTCTCTCATGCTTCTTAAGCTCAAAGATTGTCTTCTAGAAGAAAGAAAAGCTAACTGAAAGAACCTCGACTGGTTGCGTCTATGAGGGTGAGACCCATACTGGACTCACATGACCACTGAGCTGCTCACTTGGGTCACATACTCAATGAAAAATATATTTGACAGATTATATAAGAAATAGCTTGACCATGTGACTGCCTCCCAGACAAGTTAGATAATCTGCAGAGTGGCACAATTTCTTCCTCAGACCATCCATCTCATGCACGCCTCTGGCCTATTTTTAATAGTGGGCCCAGTCCATTTGGATAATACATTCTCTCATCTCTCCTTCTTTAAACAGTGTTTAAAAGCAATTTCCACCATTCTGAGCAGATGCTTTCCTCCGCGTTCACAGTCCTCCCATCATCTAAAATTAACTAGCCTGAGGATTGCTCACAGGCAAATCCACAGCTTTAACTTGCATTTTACATCAACTTGTTCCTGTCTCTGTGTCCCTCGCAGGAAGTTAAATGTGTCAAACTGCACATCGGCCTTGTTGCTAAGTGGTACGTGCTAAAAGCCCTCTGTGCTCACAATTTACCCTGATGACTTGTGTCTTTTTTTTTTTTTTAACTTCTTTTTCATCTTTTTCACCCAACTCCCAACGCTCCTTACCCTCATTTAAAAACGACCCCAAAGAGGTAAGTCTCAAAGCGTCCTACTCCTTAGAAAAGTGCAGCTCGGTTTGATTGACTAGCAGGGGGTTCTGTGCATTAGTTCCAACGCCCCAGAGAGGGGTCAAGAGGTGGAGAGCAATTCTGGGTTAAGGTGATTCTGATATGGTCTGTCTGAGGCTTGGAGAGGTGCAATTCAGCAGACTGCATGAATGTGTAGCTGGGCCAAGGAGCTCGGAGTTGCCTTCAATCATTGCAGGAAGCCCTGCAGGAGGAGTTGGTGCAGAGGCAGGTGAACCAGTGGACACTAGATAGTTGAAACATTTTATACATTTCATAGGACAAAAGGTGAATGGAGAGAAATTATCTCAAACATTAGATTTTTGTAAAAATAAATATCCAAGATTATCCACTTTAATTACTTGCTTAATTGCACCCATAAAAAGATTTGACATAAGCTTCACACAGTCAGAGTCACACAGATGAGCAGTTACATCTGCGATTTTGCTGAAAATTCCTTTTCGCTGTGATAAAGTTTCAGAGAGAGACAGAGAGAGAGAGAACCACATCAATTAAGACCTCCTTGTCCGTCACCTGACTCGTGCACCAACCCCTTCATTCATTCCCTGCCTGGTGTAAGGCGGATGCTAGCGAGTTTTGCTCCACCAACTTCTCCAGTCTGCTGAGTGGGAGAGCGACTGACAAGGACCAGGCGAAGAGACACTTCGGTTTGTGTGGCGAGTGCGAGTGTGTGTGTGTGTGTGTGTGTGTGTGTGTACGTGTGTGGAGGTTACTTTGGCATCATTCATGCTGAGATTCACCTGCACCCTGTCACAATGAGGCAGTGTAGGGCAGACACACACAGCGTACACAACCCAAGAAGCTGTAGATAAGCACACTGAAGGTGAACACAGAAATGAGAGCATGTATGACATGCTTGTAGCAACAGGACACCACTGAGACGTGGTAAATATTCATAAAGAAAGAGGGGACTATTAGCATTTAAGAGGAAAAAAATGCCTGCAGTTTATGTTTGTATGCTACATAGCGTTAAAGTTACCACCTAACTTAATAGGACATTTCAGATTAGTCCAATGATGTGTGCACGCACTGCAGGGCTGTTTGCATTTATATGTACTTATGCTGATAGCTTGATGGGAAAAACACATGCTTAACAGAGCACTTGTGATTCTTAGTTACATTACTGATGATAGAGACTATTAGGGAGTCAACTGAAGTAGGCAGTCTGCCTGCAATGTTAGCTTGGAAGTTTGTTTGTTCGTGTCTATGTGGACCTTTTCCACTTTATATGTTAATTTGTGAAATTGTTTACCAGCCAATGTGTATCTAAACACTCGTGAGACTGAGTGCGTCTGTGCAGCAGCGTGTGTGTGTGTGTTTGTGTGTGTGTGTGTTTGTCTGGAGTCCTTTTCCATCTCTGCTGGTTGACAGACTGTGTCAGAGCTGCCTGGGAAATGATATATCCACCTGTGACATCTCACAAAGACAGAGAAGGACACAGTCTAGTTCTCTCTCTCTCTCTCTCTCTCTCTCTCTCCCACTGTCCGATTCGCTTCTCTCTCACCTTAATGAGAATTGACACCCATCCTCTGTCAGCTTCATCAAGATTGACACTGCCCCTAGTGGTCCAAGTGGGAAAATGATTTTTCTTATAAAAGGAGGTTACTTTCCCTCTACTAGCTCAACTGTTGTCCTCTGCCCATTGCACACAAATATATATATATATACACACATGAATAAATGTACAAAATAAAACATAATTTTTATTTAAAAACATGTTAATTTTTCTTGCACTGGACTCATTAGGATGTGACAACTTTCTGTAGAAAAAGATTTCAGTATTTGTGGGAGAAAGGATCTTTTACATTGAGGAAGGAGCATTAAAGTTATATGTGATGATTTCTTTGTTAATGCTGATAATCTGAAAAATAATTAGTATTCAGCATTAACCCCATAATTTAATCCATTAAAAACCTCCAAAAAAAACCCGGAGAATGAAACCTTAGGGCTTCAAACAATGAAATCAATCAAATTGTGCCATATTAATTATATCTTATTATAATAAGTGGCCATTATCTGATTGTAACTGCACACACCTCCTTTCCTCTTGCAGGTAGTAAAACTGAATTCAGGCGGCCTGCAGGGCAGCTATGAGAACAGTGGTTGGTATGGTAATAGAAGCCTGTGAGCCGGCTAGTTAATGCTTATATCCTGGTTCCCAGTGATGTTACGGAATGCTTCCTAAACCTCAGACTGATTAGCGTGCTGCGGGCGGACCCCCCCCCCCCCCGAGTAGAGACAAAATGTACTTTCTCACATTTCTCCGAAGAATGACGATCTTAAATTCTTCTCATTTAAACTCATGTTATCATCAAAAACATTTACAAGACCACAGGCAAAACCTTCTACACTGTACAGCAATTATGTGGGAAAACTGTAAACTTCTCTTCACATAGTACTGTGTAATTACATGAGCAACCACCATTAAGTGCTACAGTGTATTGAGTTATTTTAAATTGTAATTACAGGAAACAAGGTTAATAAATTGCCATAAAAAGGTACTCTTGTGGTCTAGTGTTACATTTTAATGCATTAACTATTGAACTTTTGTGGTTTATTTTACTTTTCTTCACTAGAATTGTGCGTATAAACTACAAGCAGGAATACACAGCACTGTGGGTTCATAAAATAAAATAGCACGAGGAAGTGGAGAGGTTGTGTTGTTGGTAGGATAGACATTCACCGCCTCTGACAGCCTCATCTTCAAAGTTGAGTTTCTCTGCCTCAGCACTTTGTAGGTGAGGTTTACACTCCTTGTAGCGCTCTTACAAACTTTTCCTGAGCACAGGGACTTGTGTAATGTCTTGTTTAGATGCTACATTGCGGCTTGAGCCTGAAAATACTTTTAAAAGCAGTTTGTTTTTTTGGTTTTTTTTTCTGAAGGACAAAGTCGAAGGTATCTCAGTTAGGATTAGAACAACTACCAAGGGGACATTGTAGTAAAAGTTAAATATTCATACAGGCGTGGATGATCATGCTGAGCAGCCAAAATAGAAGGTAAAACTGTCCCAAGTGTTATAGTCTCAGTGCAGCTAGTCAGAAAGCTAAAGTTGGGAGAAGCTCTGCAGAACTGAACGTCTATAAATTATGTTTGTGTAGATTTCTATCTCTGATTTCTGAGGTCTTGTGTAAGAAAGCACATTCATTATTTGCACACTAACCATGCGGGCCTCAAAAGACCATGGGCCCCGGTTACAGAGAACAGACACACCCTGCAACTGCACTTTATCAACTCGTGGGACGAAAACCAGGTGGAAACTAGAAACATTCCCTTCTGCCTCTCTGATGAACCTGCGTGCGTTACAGTGTAGGAGCTGCCATGATCGTACACTAAATCGTGTTTCTGACACTTCACATTCCTGAGAGGGAAACCTTTCATCTTCCTATTCATCCAAATTATTCTGCAAAGCCACTATATCACCCAGCGTGTCTTATCTGTTTCACTGTAAATCATTTGGACGTAGCCCTTCCTGTTTGGCTTGAGATTCAAACTAATGAGGGGAGGAGGCAGACACCACCGCAAAGGGAATTAATGTGACGGGTCAGGACCCAATGCTCAAATGAACTTAGTGCAGATATGCAAAGTAATAATTTACAACCTTTATTTATCCAGTGAAACCTGACAGAAGACACAGGCTGGTTTCTATCACTACACACCCATGCACACTTTACACTGAGCCATATCAATGCAAAGGATTTAAATACATCTCAAAAGTATCTCCATAGGTTTGAACCAGCCACCAACTTTTATCCATCACTTCACTAAGCTCAACACTACCACCACCTAGCTGATAAAAAGGAGAAGAAGTCTTATTAATAACACTAATAAAACAGTCTGTTATACAACTGCAGCAAATAAAAGCTCAGGATTCTTTATATTACCATCTTAACAGAGATCCAAAAGTATTGGTTTGTAATATTTATAGCTGCTTTTACATTCACCCGAGACTGATTCGCTGCAACAATGGTTCGTAACAGTGGGACAGGTTGTAGTATCTACAAGAGAAGGCATAACAGGCGTATGTCTTCACACAGTAAAACATGAACAAATAGGGACCGTACACAGAGCACACACCCATTAGATATTGGCTAGGGATGTCAAGAAGAAAAAAAAAGTAGGTCAAGTTATGTGTCTTGTGTGAGATGGGATTTCTGCCTCAAAAACAACCATTCATCTGGGGGGCCTACACATTAACACGGTAACACGTGGGCTGTATCGTTCGCTAGAAGCCTGCTGAGAAGAAGAAAGAAACAGAGGGAAAAATATTATAGAAGGGAAGATGAGAATGTATATTTATAACGTTATATGAGATTGAAATTGGATCAGCAAAGAGAAGAAGAAGGAAGAGGGAACCACGGGTGAGTAGAATAAAAAAAAGAGCAGGGTCTTTATAATTGATTTTTGTTTACATCAGTTGTTCTTTATGTTATAGTAATCACTCCCAGATGCTGGAATGACCTTTTGATTGCCCCTGCATTAATAGAGAGAAGTAAGCCAAGATGAAATTAATTTTAAAAGCCAACTGGCTACAGCTGGATACAGAGCCAGTGCTGAAGAGGAGAAATAAATAAGGGAAAGAAAAGAGAAGAGAAAGAGGAAATTTGAACTTTGTTAAATTCCTCTGGGTCACAAAAGGACAAGAAGAGAAAGAGCCTGAATGACAACGCTTTAACAAGCCTACCAGCCATTTTTTTGTGTTTTGTGTATTCACTCTAGGCGTACGGTTGTGGCCTTGGCCAGGCACCTCCCATGAGGAAGGAAGGCTGTTATAATACTGGAGGCCAGAGGTGAGACTTCCACAGCCCTGCACAATACATATTCAATACTTACAGGGCCCTGGCTGCACTGGTGCAAGAGCTTAATTTAAAAGTAACAGCTCCAATACATCGGAGTCTGGCTGACCCACATCTGCCGCTGGCTCAGTATGCCTGTTAATGCTGTGTGTGTGTGTGTGTGTGTGTGTGTGTGTGTGTGTGGATGTCCAAGGCACTTGAAAAGAAAAAAGAGAAACAGTATAACTCAGAATGAGGATACACACTTGGTGCATTTAAGCAGCTGTTAGCATTTCAGTGAAAGAAAGTGTGTGCCTCACATGCGCGTGTGTGTGCTTGTGTGTGTGTGACTTTGAGGACATGAATTATTCACAATAACTCAAGGCAGTGGTATATAGCACATGTCTACCTTGTGTGGCACAGGGCATGCACGCGTATGTGTATCTACAGGAGTTTGTCTGTGTGTTTGTCGGGAGTTTGGACTGAAGCTGGGGAGCGTGCGAGGAGATCAGCCATATGCCGTAGACCTAATCCACTATGACAAACCTCTGACATCACATGAACAATGAGCAAATCTACTCATCCATAATAAATGAGAGAGAGAGAGAGAAAGAGAGAGGGAGAGAGAGAGAGAGAGAGAGAGAGAGAGAGAGAGAGAGAGAGAGAGAGAGAGTCTCTGGGGAAAAAGAAATAAAAATACTAAAAAAAGAAATAAATAAACCAAGCATCTCTATTCGTGGCAGCCAGCATTCCACCTTGAGAAAAAAACTTCAAGTCTGTGGTTGTGTTGCTGCATGTCATTATACATGTGACCTCAACCTGCCAATCACAAGAAAGCATAGCAATCTTTATAAAAAAAAAAAACTCACTTTAAACAGAAAACAACATGGAGGCGTGAGACACAACCTGTCTTTAGTGAAAGAGCAGTCGCTGACTTTGTCATTCAGATGAGAAATGAAGACATGATTGAATGCCTTGTCTTTTGATTTCCTGTACCCGAACACTGCAATTATACAGGAAATGCCATCTGCAATTTTAGAGTGGCTGATTGTGCCTTTAAGTGTGAACAGCTATCACTTCCTGTGTTAAAAGGCAGCCTTTCAATGGCAGAAATAGAGAAAGACTTTTTTGGAAAAACATTTTTATAAATCGGCAGAGAATGGCTCCAATTTTACACTGCTAGAATTTTTTTTTTTGTAACCTTCCCGGTCTGTAGAGGGTTCCTCTGCTTAAAGGGCTCCAAGTCCCTAAAGAGACTTAGTCTTCTGACAAGGTTGATGAGCCCTGGCTCCACGCTTTATGATGAAGGTGCTCCAGTAAGGCTGCAGTCTATTGACAGAGCCGGGCGCTGAAATCCCTCGGGGGGTTGGGGTCCCTGAGAGTTTTTTATTCACAGCCTGACTACTGCTGGTGGGTCATCCATTATTTAACACACACACACACACACACAAAGGTGCTTCTCGACATGTACACATGGGGTTACACAACTGCATAGTTAAATCCAGACTTGCACCCACATTCAGGGATTCCATATATAGCCCTAAAAACAAGATTTCATTTCAGTTACCCATAGCAAACTTTGTGTATGATATAAAATGTCTGTTTTGCTGATTCCTTATAAAGAAAGCAATCAAGCTACGTAATAAATCTGGGAAACGGGCAATAATCGAAAATGCATTACACTGTATATTCCTGTAAAATTGTGTTTTTGTATCATTTTCAACCAATTTCTGCAAAAATGTTCAATCCATAGATCTGACTCTCTGGTTATCTGGACCACTCAGTGACAGTGCAGAAATTCAACCCTCACATACAAAGACTAACCTCCACCTCGTATAAACACTGTGCTGCTTTCTTCCACACAGGGCCTCTCTGAAGTCCATCAAGTTTTAAATAATTCAGCCTGCTCACCATTCATTCTGACCGGGCAGCTCGTGGATCCAGGGCACCGGGTTCTCTCCCACAAAGCCCATGTCATCGTGGGAACTGGAGGACGATTGGTCGGAGAGGTGGGCAGGAAGCAGGGGTGGCCTATCGTCTTCGATCATCACTATGTCGTCCTGTGGCATGTTCACGGTCGGAGAGAGCTGGTAGTTACCTGGAAGACAGAGAGACAGAGGGGGGAAAGAGAGCGATTAGATAGCATGTACGGCTACATCCAATCAGTGGTGTCTGATAACAAATGTGAAAAAAATCTGATGTGCTCAGGCTGAAGCAAATTCCTCCACAGACACATTTGAGTACACACAACAATTTTATCTTACTTTAGTAATTAGCAAGATAATACTGTATACAGAGATAATTGTACTATTTTCATATCAGGACATGCCTGAAGGACACCAATATCTCTCAAAAAGGGAAAAAAAAGGTCCTTATCGGGTACAATTTCTCAATGCAGAATGTGTGCAGAGAGGCTGCAGGACAACACAAACACCACCAAATGGTAGCGGCCACACCAACACGCAAAAACTGGTCAGGACTGGACACGACAAAGTGACCACCAAGACAAGACAAGACACAAACATGATCTAATGTCTGCTACCCACAATGCAGTCTCTGCAGTTGTAGTTTTATCCATTCTCCTTCTCTCTTCTCCAAGGACAAATGTGAGCTCCCCCTGATCTGTATTCTGTCCCTCCTGACCCTCCCCACTGAGGACTTCTTTGAATCACTCCTTTGCTGCTCCTCAGGAGTCAAAGTCAATGGGGAATGAGCTGCCGTGCCAGGCACTCAGCACCAAGGGCAGGAGAAGGGTTGTTCAACAGCATGAGAAGTGGCATTACAATACAGAGGAAAATTCACTCTGCAAATTGATCAGTGCGTGATTTTAAGTGTGGACACAGAGGCATGAAAAAGGGGGAAATCAAAGTCAAGATGAGCGATGAGGCCTATCACACACCTGCTTACTATTAGACAGATGTTCTCAGAAATGCTGAACTTCCTATGGTCTTTGCTTTTGTTTGCATTATAGGGGAGCCATTTTGCAAATTTAATAGCTTTGGAACAATTGTGTGTAATCACTTACAGCAGACAACAATATTTACACTGGCAGCATTCCAACATGAGTCTGAGAGGCATTTAATTTCACTAGGGCCGGACGAATGATAAATGCGGATGTAAATCTGAGCACCAATCAAAGCAGCAGTGAGGTGTATACTTTCATTATTTGCACAGGAAAAAAAAAAGAAAAAAGAAAAAGAAATGCAACAGATACAAATAAAACAGCTGTGGAGTGGAGAAGGTGGGCTTATGGAGATCCTCTCCTACAACAGTCAAAAAAAACAACAAACTAGAATTCCCGCCTCGTGGTTGTGTGAGTCCGCCAACCAGTCAAGTTGCAGGAAATATAGTCACAATCTCCACTTCCTTACAGCACTGAATAATGGCCAAAAATATTTTTGCAGAACATTATGATGTCACAGTGAAATTGACCATTGACCTTTTGGGAATAAAATGTTGCCACTTCACTTTATCCTTATGACTTAAAGTGTATGAAATTTGTGAGTAATGGCCGAAAACGTGTTTTGTGATGTCACAGTGAGCCAGAGGTCTGGGCGTAAATGTTTGTGCCAAATCTAAACAAATTTCCTCGAGGTGGTCTTGAGATAGCATGTTCAAGAGGCCAAAACCGTGCTTTGTGAGGTCACCGTACCCTTGACCTTTGACCACCAAAATCTAATCAGTTCCTCCTTGAGTCCTACTGAATGTTTTTTTTTTGCCAAATTTGAAGAAGTTTCATGAAGATATACTGAGATATTGCGTTCATAAGAATTGTACAGATTGACATACAATCCAAAAACATAATGCCTGCGACTCTGGCTGTCACCGACGCAGAGGCATAAAAGTCAGTGGCATGTGGCAGAAGATATTAATTACACCTTGTACCTTTGGTAAATACTTGTACTATATGTTATTGCCCTATGAGCATTCTTCCTTTGCTGTCCCATAGAAACCTTTACCAGAAATCTGCCCCTGTACTTACGCATCTGTTAAGTGATTCTTTCGTGAGGCCTCATCCCTTTGTCTATGGACTGCTCATCTAAACCAGTTAAGATGGCTGCCAACACTGTCCAGGTGAAATGAAAGCCATTCCTCACTTGGGCAGCTTGACAGAGAGCCACGGGTAATTGAATCCGCCCTGTACTGTAAATCAGCAGGACCAGAGTAATGACAGCGAGAAACTCCAGGAAGTCAGTGTGACTAAGCTCCATCTTTCACTTTCATAGCAGGCAGCCCAGGTATTTAGGAGTTAAATTATAGCTTGGTAACAGTAGTCATTATTTATCTTTAATCATCTGTTTTTATTATATCATTAATTGTGATGTCCAATTGTGGTGTATTTAAAAGCCTCCAATTCATCCTATTCACTGAACGTCCACTAAACAATATGGAGCTTTTCCCAGCTGTAAGGACAACGAATGATGGTGATATCTGCATACGGGAAAGAGCCTATAGTCATTACTATTTGTGTATATTTGTATAAGTTATGTTATTTGCAGAATCTTCATTCTATTTCATCTATATTCTCTGTATGTTAATATTCTGTGTGTTTTACGCTCTAGGCAGTAGTTAAGGTTTGACCTTGAACAACTCCCCTGAGCCAAAATTCGACACTTCTCTCCTCTGCTGTCACTGTCTGAACTTTACAGTCAGTTTAGGAAAAAGTGGGGCAGTGTCAATAAGAGATGCCCTGCGGTGGTGTGTCCACAGGGGCCGACCTTATACCAGCCTTTACTTTCCCCTCCATTCGTAGGTAGAGTTACCTCTCGATTGCATCAGTAACACTGAGAATTTCACTACAGTAGCGACGTGGAACAGACATACACTTTAGCGGTAACATAATGGGAAGTTTGTTTGATTACAAAAGGTTCTGTGTAAAGGTTTGGGTTTGTGTTTCAAATACACAACACATGGGGCAAATCCTTGTTTTGCATTCACAATATGCACTCTTTAAGATCATGCATTACCCACAATCACCTTACATGTCAGCAGACCACATTTGCTAGAGGACACAGTTTTAATTAGAAACCCCACAAGCTTCCCCTCTCCCAAATTTATGAAATGTTTCCGGTCAGGACCTCTTGATACAAGTGGCCAGCACTGCAGATGAAGAGTTGCTAAAGGCGTTCCACTTCCCCCTTCACTAAGTAGCTCAAGGACACACAAACACACACATGCGATAAACGGCTAGTGGACAGGTACAGTCAGGGCCATGCTGATGTTTTGAGAGGTGAGAAGCTGCAGCTCTTGCTTTTTCTGCAGTTATAAGCATAATAAGCATGGGGGGGGGGATCACAGCCCACCCCCAATACTTGTTGTAGCATACGAAAACTTAACTCTGAAAATGACTGTACAGCTACAGACTCAAGAAGAGACCAAAAGGAAATGACTCTTTCTGTGTTCAATGGCTCTTTGGTTTATGGAACTAGACTGAGAAAGATAAAAATAAATAAAGAAAGAAAGAAAATAGCAGAAGGCAGAGCGAGGAAAGAGGCACAAGGTTGAGAGGAAAGAGACTTTTCAGAGCCGTTGGTGGTGTTTTGGCGCAGTGAGGTGCAGATGGAGCTGCTTTAACACTGCTTTAACACAATTGTCTCTTACTATCTCCACACAGTTGGTGACAATGGAAAAAGGGCAGGTGACAGTAACAGCAGAGACATTCCCCTTAGTATTGCAAGCCAAATCGACAGACTATGTGTGTGTGTGTGTGTGTGTGTGTGTGTGTGTGTGTGTGTGTGTGTGTTTGAGCTACAACTATCTGGTGACTAAGCTGAAAGTCAACGCTGTTCATTACAGAGTGGCGATTCTGAATACAAACAAGGGATGAAATAATGACTGAATACATTCTCAGTGCCTTGTTTTGTAGTCTTTCTTTTATCTGCTTAGAGCGTCATCTCTGCTGCTTACATCATTTTTGCCGAGGGAAGGTCATCTGAACACATTGTTGCTCTTAAATCTTAAGCAACTTTTAACTGGTCACTCTTGTGCCTAATGGCATCAGAGCAAAAACAACCACAAGCATCTAAACCTGAGTGGTGTGAATGCAATTACTGTTTTCTCAAAAACCCCGGAACCGCTATCTTGGCGAGAATCAAAACGCTGTTATTTGGCCTTTGATGACTTTGGCAATTTCTGAAAACACTGGAGCCTTTTATGTGCTCAGTTCATGGAATGAAAGCAAACGAAAAGGAAAACTTCAATATCGCGACGCCATCGCGAATGAATCAGCAGTCACACACATATCTTAGAGACATGTACATGAGGTCACATGGGGATGAATATCGCTGGAGTTGAAATTAATTGCTCACAGAAGCTGGCTCTTTAACAAAGGGGCTGTTTGGTGTGTGTTTAAGAGCTTCTGATTCATGTTTACCATCTACACAGCTAAGGGAAGATTGTGCCACTGTGGCCTTGGTGACACTGTAATTAAAGATAACTTCTCATGAGTTACACCCGACAGAAACACACACACACACACACACACACATGCACACACAATACCCACGACCCTCAGCTTAGTTTTCAAGGTAACAGTTACCATCCTGCTAGAAAACAAACCCAAGTTGTTGGGTGGGGTTTGCCGTGCAGCAATAATACTTTAATGCGAAGGCTTAACACATCACAGTTAACAGCTGAAGCAGATTAAAGTCAAAGTGATCACTGTGGTTGTTAATTTTAATGTGGGAACATTAAACGTCACTGCAACTGGCTCAAAAAGAAAAAGAAAAGAAGAAAAAAGTGACATTAGTTTCATTTGATGCTTACATCAGCTCAGTTCTATACACATTTATACACTTTAATTTCACATCATAGTCCTGACATCCTATCTGTCCATTCAAAGCATTCAATTTGATAAGAGGATCAAAAATATGCTATAAATGCAGTCTGTTCTTCTGCGCCACACTTGAGAAGTGCACTGTAGCACCCACTCAAATGGTGCAATCACTATACTGAAGAGTCCCATTTCTACCACTGTACTGAAGCACGTGCAGCCCTCTGGCCAGCCGTGCTTAGCGTGTGGAAGCTATTCCACGATATTGAGGCAGAGATGTTCTTCCTCCCTCTGGCAGAGAGCGAAGGCAGAGACAGATGAGCTCT